TCAAGTCAGTTTCAACAAACATCGTAGTTTAGACTATCAATCTGTCCTACAGGGGCCGGACCTTGGTGATGTCTTCTATTGGCAAGCACTGAAGGTAATTCAGTGATCTCTGGTAGAGGTTCATGGTAATCTTTCCGTAAAACTTTAAATTGGTGCACTCTTAAGTACATAGACAGTCAAGTAAGGCCGGGATATTGTAACCAGTTGTTCAATCTTAAAAAAAAAAGACATGAAACAAAATGGGTGGGTAGAGTTGGGGCCGTAAAGTATGTAAAGTAGGGTGATCCTGGGGCGTGCTCCAGGAATTTGAATTGTCTGAGCCATAGAAACGCTATTTCTTGAAATTCTAGCAGAATATTTGCACTATTGAAGTAGCCCGTTACCAACTATAAGCAACTCTTTTATGACTCCCTTTATACAAGCCACAAACGCTACGTTTTGGCGCGCATTCTGCCGCCATATGTGGTTTGAGTTTGTTGTTGGTTCTCTGTGCTCCAAAAGGTTTTCCTCCGGTTACTCCGGTTTTCCCCGGCCCACATTTCCAAATTCCAATTTCAGTCTGGAACGTACTTGTTTGATATTTTTTAATCTTCCACTACAATACGTGATCAGAAGGCAATCAAAAAGTTGATTGCCCATTTAAGTTGTTTGTTTGTTTTTGTTTTTTCATTTTTTGGCAAATTATACTCTTGACACGAATGACGAACGAACGTTTAAGGTGCATAACTAATATTGAATATTTTACCGACATTATAAACATACCACAGCAAATAATGTTGGTCTTTGTAGGAAATAATTTTGGGTACTACTATTTGGATCAAAACGTTTTTTAAGTTGAAATGTGGGTTCAACTTCACATTTAGTAGGTAGTTCGGTAGCTTTGGTATTACCGTCAGAGTTTTTATTTTCCATGGCGAAAGCAGGCTAACTTTATGACCAGTTTTGTTCTTTGTTAACTTGGACAATTACACATGTCACTCAACTGTTTAAGTGGTTTGTTTTTCATCCCGAGTTATCTGATTATAAAAGGACGTAAACGATTCTGTTGCAGGAGGACTGATAGTAGCAGCTGTCAGTTTAACTCGTTTCAGAAAGAGAAGACAAAGCGTTATCTTCACCCAAAACAGGCAAATATATTTACAAGGTTGGTCTTTTTTTACCGCGTCGGTGTTGTTCTATAAGTAATGTTTGTGGACTTTTTGTTTATTATATCTGGGCAACAATCAGACGCAGAATCTTTTGCATGCCGTTATGTTTCTTTTTTAATGAAGACATCGCAAAAAAATATGAAAAAGAAAGGGAGCCTTTTGCTCTGGTCATTGGTCAGAAAAGAAAATGCGATGCTCAAGAAATAAAATTCGTCTTGTGACTCTTGTGGACCCTCAGTGAGGGCAATTCTAGGAGATTTGTATATCTCATTCTCCAGTAATGTTGTTCAAGTGCCCCATGTAAGAAGTACTGTACTCATACCAGTACATTTCCTTTTGAAAACGAATTTCCGAGTCTTGAATGTGGCATGGACTTTTTTAAGCATGCTGCCACAAAACGTTTAAGGCTGAGGTTCTATTTTTTAAATTGTCTTAGTTTTGAGTAACTTTTTTCCTTCTGTAAGTAAACCATGCTTAACTGACAGTAAGTTGACTTGCCCGTTGGCGGTTTGTTGTGCATTTTTTTATTATTACAATAATCGTCAACTGCCGATTTACTTTCATGGATAGGAGCTCGTTGTTAAAAGATTTTTTTTAGCTGAGAAAATTTACAAAAACTATGAAATCTTTATGTCACTATTTTCTTTAAAGTTTTGGAATTGAGTCTTTGTCTCAGCGTCACCAAGAGAGAATGAGCTCTCTTGGTCTCACTTACTGAGGTAAAGGGAAATTTGTTATTTAAGAATGAGAGTTCTATTCACCTTCTTTCATGTAGAAACTGTCCAGTGCAACTCCTTTGTCAGTGGCTCCTCATTGAGTAGCTGAAATGTTTTTTTCAACTTCAGGCAAGATGAATCGTCCGGTGATTTTATTGGTGATTGCTGTTGCCATAGCAGTGTGTGCTGTACCAAGTGAAGGTAAAACTTGATATTTCAATTCTTTTAATTGCCATTACATTATTCCAAACTTTCTGATTCTTTAGCTACAAGTCGCCTATCATTCAGTCATTAAGAACCCCTGCAAACTACTCATCAGCCTATTTTCAATCTCCAAATCAGAACGTCTTGATACACACGATTCCCTTTACAGTAGGTATGCGTTCAGTACCCAGATCTTGGTAGTGTTTCTGATTGATTGAAGCAAATTTTTCGCGCACGACTGACAAATCCTTCTTAATTATACAACATTTTTTCTTCGTTTTCTCAGAAAAGGCATCAGCATTCTCGGTTTTTATCAAGAGGAAAATAAAACGAACAATTAACCTGCTTGAATTTCAATACCATTCAAAATAACATGTAATCAATATATTTTTTGTCCTTTGCCAGGAATCAGCGCCCCAAATAATGCTACGTGTATAAATGCTGCGGTTCAAGAATGTGGCCACTGTGGTCAGTTGTGTTCTAAATGTAAAAGAAGGTGCCAATGTGATTGTACCAAGCCCGAATGTGATGTAAAATGCCTTATATAATTGTCTCTTTTTATAGTACTTTCCGGCATGCAGGAAAGCCTAGATATAGGACTAGAAGTAATTATAGTGGTGATTAAGCAACTGCATTCAGTTATTCAACTTTTTGTAATAATGTAATCAAGAAACATCTGTAACAAAAGTAAAAGACTTTGAACTGTAACACTTGGAAAATAGAATTTAACAACTTATTATGAGAAGGGTAATAAAAAAATTTGTTTAGCTTTCAGACATCTTAAGATTCTGCTCTCAGTGTCAGTTAGCACTTCTCGCTAGTCCAATAAGGCGTTCCTCATTATAAAGATCACATGCTCAGGTGAATTACATTGTTGAATCCACCTCCTCCTCGCGCTTCGTTTTTCGTCGTACAGAGGGGCAGCACGAAACACTGCGAAACGTAGGTGACAGGTGAATGACTGGTGACGAAGCGCAAGGGATCATGGGAAGGAAGTACCCGTTTTCTCCTTCCCTCCTTCCTTTTCGCGCAAATGAGGCAGTGGCTGAGGGTGAGATGCAAGCTAGAAGTACAATCAAACCCCGCTTTACGGCCATCCGCTTAATGACAGACTCGTTATTATTAAGGACAGTTTGCTTTGTCTCTGGGGAAAGAAAACCCCAGTTACGTAGCCTGTGAACAGACCCTGTATTTGGGGCCCTCTCCTCCCAATTTTTTCACCCTTTCCCCAAATGGATAGCCTGTTCACGGGCTACCAGATACGTTACATTTTCTCTAAATTCAACCCGCTTAATACAGGCACCCCGTTAATACGGACACTTTGTATGGCCCCCTCAGTATTCGTCAGTAACGGGGTTTGACTGTATATCCTTATCCCGCGTTACTGATAGGGGGAAGGGTTGCAAAACTGATACTCGCACATCCATGAAAGGGTTTCGAAAACAATTAGCAGCAACAGTTACCACCGGTTCTGTAGCCAGCCACTTACCGTTATTTATGTTACGATTCAAACCACAGGATCACAAGGTCGCAAAAACAGAAGCTACCCACATTCACAATACCTGCATGATAAAGTACACTAATGGTACCACAGTGCACCGTGAAGTACCCAAAGGAATGAGCCCCGAAAGTAGCGATAAAATTTCACAGTCCTCAGCAAATCCCAGAAGTAGCGACTCCTCGAAAGTAACAACGCTCCGAACGCCAAGTCATCCCTAAAGTATCTTCCCTGTCTTTTCCGCTTTTTTAACATTTGATTAGAAACAATACCTAGCTATAACGCAATTGGTTTCCCAGGACTTATCCACTGGATAGTGATATATCCGATGGATAGCGTTATCCGATGTTGACTTTTGAACATCTGGGGCCAGTGTCCAAGCCAACAGTCTTTCATTAAATCTCAAAGAAATTAATGATACTTTTAATAATTATCAAGCCAAGACAAGATAAGACACACTAATCGACTCGATCATGTAACAACAAAAATTAATACCCCTTCCCCCAAGCTGGCCAATATTTGTTTCTAGCAACACTAAAAAATTACTCCCCCCTCCCCCCCGGTCCGTGTCTTTTTTTGTGGCGCTAGGGGGGGGGGGGGGGGGGGGTACTCCCTTATATAACCCATATAGGTATGTGCCGCCCCAAAGTGTATAGTATTTGGGCCATTTCGGTCTGAAAACTGCCATAGACTCTGCCCATTTTGGTCTGGAATCGGGTATTACTTTAGCCTGCGTAGGCGCCGGTTTGTTTGATAATAGACCACTAGTTGGATTTTACTAAAACGTCATAGTCCGAGATAGCTAACCAAGCAGATTGCTTGAATTACCAAGATCACTGAGCGTGTATATACTAAAGCCAAATATGCCCATCTAATGTTTAAAAAACGAAAACAGATCCTGAGTAAAAAATCGAATTGATTAGTTAATTAAATTATAGTATAATTATTATCGAAAGGGAGTAAATGGTATATGCCATATAATTTTTTTGTTTCCGTTCATATTTTATATAATTATTTTGTTGTAGTTATGAAAACCTTTTTTGTAACTAGATCTAACGAGACCAATGCCTCCCTTTGGAGCTTTGGGGTGGGGGTCACTTACTTCAGTGCCTAGAGGAACGACATGGCACTGGTGTCTCAGGACATTTCATGGGGTCATACATGAACTACTGAAGGATTAAATTTAGTTGTATACGTTGGATCTCTAGAAAAGAGATCAAATCAGCCAAAATATAAACAAAGCTGATTCAAAACACCGTGTATTGTTTTTTATAACAATATTTCGGCTGGCCATACCAGCCTTCTTCAGGTTTACAGACCAGCTTTGGAGAGTGAGGCGCAATAAAGTACAGCGGACTAACAAAAGACACTAAGCGTGGGCTTCCTTTGCGCACAACATGGCGGACGAACGTTCACATCTTTCTCCTTTTGATCGTCTGGAATTGTTAAAACCATTTATACCTTTGTTATAGAATTTTGGAGCTCCCTTCATCACTACTGAGTAATTCTAGCGGTTTTACAACACAGCAGTTTGATCGATTTAAGTTTGAAAATGGATGACGACGTGGAGGTCGAAGATTTCGAGATCACCGACCGCGACCTAATGGAGGGTCTCGGTTTGGGATTTAGAAGACATAGAATGACAAAAGAAGAAGCGATTTATGGAATGTGGGCTGAGAGAGACTCAGATGATGACGAAGGACCTCGTGGATACTCGAAGAAAAGAAAGAAAGATTACACCAAGCCACTGAATTTTGTGAGTGGTGGGATTGTTCAGAAAGGAAAAGATAAGAACTTGGACGATGATGGTACGAATTTAGTTAGCGTATTTTTATTGTATACTTATAGTAACCTCTTAAAAATACTGTTAATTATCTTGTTAAGATTTCTGTATAACCCTATACATTTATTATGCATGCAATAATTTCACAAATAGTTTTGAGACATGAATACAGTCATGTTATTGATGTAACTGTATGGGGTTATATGGAATCTTACCATTATCTTTACCAACCAAGACTGATACAACAATAACAACTTAACAGACTTGCCAACCTCCAAAAGGCAAAAAATGTGAGATTCTGAAGTTTGAGCTGGAAAAAGTAGTGAGAAATGGGTAAAAAGTCCTTAGATGTCCCAAAATTTCCTAGTCTAATGACTTTCTGTGGCAATTTTGGGTGTTGGAAGTCACGTATCACTTTAAAACTGTAGCAGTAAATATCACTATCAAATTTATGATTTAGGTTTTGTAATTTCTTGCTTTAACTTGACACGCAATTTGCAACATTTTTAAAAATACATACAACAGTGACCAAACATTTCTTAAGGCAAAAGTCATGATTACTGAAGGTTCAAGGTCATTTTTAGAGGAGAAACTTGAACTGCACTGCAGCAGAAGAATTACAAGACATTTGTGTTTGTTTGTTTACTTTTTATCAATGGTAATTTTTAGTTGGGGGCTGATGGCTAAAATTTTTTTAAAAAAAAAAAAAAGCACAGAATAAGCTGGGAATTTTGTTTGCTGTTCAAACTCACCTTTTAAATGGGTTGATATGTTTCGAAAGCGCAAATTTTGTTTCATCAAAAAAGAAGTTGGGCTTGCAAAAGTCATTTGCCGCAGTCCGCAGCTGGTACTTTGTGATCCTCTGTACCAGAGTGCGGTCTGTTTGATGAATTTGTTTCTTGTGAGATCAGTCAAGTGACAAGCTCATTATATTTCTCAACTTGACTCTTGATTCTCGAAACTTGAGAATCGATTCTCAAGCCTCGAGACTTGATTCTTGAAAGTTTTGAGATTCAAGAACCGAGTCTCGAGAATCAAGACATGAGTGACTGTCAACTTACTTTTGAGGGGTATTGTATGTTAGTCCTTTATCCTGCTTGTTTCATCTCATTTTCGCTTACAGAACTTTATATATTACATACTCTCTTTATTATTAAAATTTTGGGCCACATTACCATTTTGGGCTACTTAACTAAAATTTTGGCCAACATACAGGTAACTCTGGTTTTGGGTGACGTAACTTCGGGCGAGATATAACAATGCTGATAAACGAAAATTTATTTGCAGTAAAAGTGCAGTAAAAGAGAGAGGAGTACAGGCTTCCCCAAGTAATCATACATAGGGGCTACAGAAAAAGTGCAGCCATATATACTTAGGTGATTAATTTATAACTATCAGGTCAGATACAATATTGCCTGACCACTGACCACTATTGTCAATCGTTGTATTGATAATGTAATAAATGGAGAGGCATTACAGTGTGCAAAGAAAGAAGTGTCCGATAGCCTGGGGCTAGTGGATTTTGCTATTGGGCTAGTGAATTCTATTATTAAATTGCCCGATGGGCAAGTGAATTTTTTTGAGGAATTCAAATTACAGATGATGAGGTGTGAAATCAATCTGCTCATCAAAACGTTTTTGGGGCTAGCTGAAATGATATTTGGGCTAGTAAATGTTAGCTTCAGCTCGCCTGAATGGCAAGCTCTAAAAATGACTTTCTTTGCACCCTGGGTATTACCTCTTTCTCACAATAAAAACTTAACATTGTTTGAATGTTTTTGTCAGATACAGCAAGTGTTGGCAGCAGTGCAAGTGAGAGAGGTCCTGGATCAGGGAGAAGTTCTCCTGTTGTGAAAGACAAAAAGCTGTTTAAAAGCACAGGCATCAAGAAAGATGTCAGCTCACTGGGTTAGTTTACACTGATTAGATTTAATTTTGTAATACAGTAGAGCAATGTTAACTCAAACTCTGAAGGGAAATGAAAAACAGTTCAAGTTAGCAGGGAATTTGAGTTATCGGCGTAAAAATTTGATCAAGGGAAAGGAAATTTAGTTTGAGTGAGTGGGATTTCTAGTCATCCGAGTTTGAGTTATCGAGGTTCCACTGTAGTTAGTAATTCATTTAGTACTGTTGTGTTGAGATTTGTGCATGCCAGTATCCTGTAAAATTCTGAAAATGAGCCCCGGGGCTTATATTTGGGGCTTATTTTTGGAAGGGCTTATCTACAGAGGGAAACTTGCGTTTCAAAATTGATTGGGCTAGCCTTATAGTTGGAAGTAAATGTACTGTTTTTGCTTGTTTTACTTTGTATTTGAGGGAAATTTTCCAAGTACAAGCCCCCGGGGGGCTTATATTTGGCGGGGCGATTTAACGGAGGGGTTTTTTTGTGTTACCGGTTTGTGGGGCTTATATTTGGAGGGGCTTATACATGGAGGGGCTTATTTTCGGAATTTTACGGTACTTTACTACACTCAAGCAGTTTGATCAATGATACACATGTAGTATGCAGAAATGGGAGTGTTGTTCTTGAAAGTGGTTAGTTCTACTAGTTAACTTGTTATCTAATACTCTACAGTTGGAATGGTATTATTGAAACTTTTAACAACAATAACAATTTACTAAGGTAGTTCCAATGAGTTACATGGGCGCAGTGTCCTTAGAGTGTAGACTGGCATCTTTCTTGTAGTAACTACATTGTATCCATTCTCTGTGGTTAGGTTGGATAAAAGACAATGACACTTTAGGGTTGTGCTTTAGCAGCACTCAGGGGCCTCAGGTGCATCGTTTTTGCTGTGACTAGGGAATCTTGAAGTTCGTTTTTTTGAATAAAAATCAAACACAGGGCACCCTGTCTGGGCCCAGTTGTTAGAAGGCCAAATAGCACTAACCCCCCCCCCCCTCCCAGTGCCGCCTGTGTCTGGTCCTTTTGTCAAAGACCCAAAACGTCCCCCCCCCCCCCCCCCTCCCCCCCCCACAAAAAAAAAAGGCTCCTATGCTGCCTCTGACTCCAACAATCCGGTTATCACTAGATCGTAAGCGATGGAATCATATGTGGGGTCAGAATAATATGGAAAAGCTCTGAGTCTTATTCTGACTCTGATTCCATCACACTTATGACTTCACTTAGGACTATCATTTTTTAATTTTACTAGGTGGTCTGTCACTAGCACTCGTAAGACTTTGCATATGACTCCTGCTCTACACACGCTCTTTCCCTAGTGGAAACAAGCCTTAATAGTGTCAGTTTTTATTATTTTCATGATCACTGCACAATATCCCAGTAGGCAGTGCTGATTTCAGGGAATCTGTGCTCAGGCATATTGTGGGATGGTTTTTGTACACTTGTTCTATTTGCTGATTAGCTATCAGGTGTTAACATATTGCACAGTACATACGTAAGTCATGTTACTGTGAGTTATGATCGTATGTGTGTGTGCTATCATCAGGCATCACCAATGGATGTGAACTAGTTAGAAACAGTGTTACATGTATGCTGTTCTTGTCTTAGGTTAAAAGCGTATTAATTCTTTTGATTGTTTATTTTTTAGGATCACAAGCATTTGCTAACAAAGTGCGTAAGGCTGGAAAGTAAGTTGTCTCTTATAATGCAGAAAATCCTTTTAAGTTACCAGTATTGTGTATATGTTACAGGTCAAAATTAAATTCAGGTTAAAAATTTTTGACCTTGATTTTGATTCTCCATTTTATTTGTCTCCTAGCCCTGATTATTCATATTGTAGGGTTTTGTATAATGATTCTGTTTGGTCTTATTAATTTTCTTCGAAAATATTCTGTTAATCAGTTCGTCTACTTTCTTATATGTTATTTCTTTTTGTTTTTATTACAGGGACATAGGTTCTTGGGAAAAACACACCAAAGGAATTGGTATGAAACTGCTTCAACAGGTACAGGGTACTTCTTGCCACTTTTGTGAGTAACACCAAGTTTGATTTTGACCACAATGTGCATGAACACAGATTACTGGCATAATGAATGTTAAGTGTTCAACAAAAAGCTGAATTTGTGAATTATGTGCATTAGACAAGAGGGTTTATGATGGTGTCTGATGATAACAGAGGCACTGTTTTCGACCAACAACAAGTATCTCTCTTTGAAGGGCATCTGTCTTATAGAGAGTCAAAAAATGATGAAAAATGGGTGGGACAAAGTCTTAGTGTCTCGGAAAGGTATCCGCCTCAGTTGAAAGAGCAGCCAGTTTTTTGTGCCAGAGGTCGTGAGCTCACCTTGGAATGGCTAGACCACCTACTAGGGACTCAAAAAAGTTCAAACTGTCAATAAAATTCAGTTGTGATTAAAACCTTGTCTGAAGTGAGTTGATTGCATTATTAGGTGGGGGCAGTTGACCATTGACCTTGTTTCCCCCATCCTAATACGAGATATCCGTTGTACAATATTAAGAAGACGACAGAAAATAACCCATTTCTCTGTTTGGAAAGAGATGTAGCAGACATTCACCCCAGTGTCATTAACTTACATGTAGGCCATTGTTGGACTGGGTGGGCAGAGATCACACTTGTACATGTGAGCAGATCTCACCTGTCTGGTTCCTTTTTCATTCAGCCACTGGTTACAAGGAAGGAAAATTACCCTAATTGGCCTGGTTTCTCTTCATTGTATTCTTCCTATATGTAAATACACCAGTACTGTAGAGGTGTCTACCAAGAGACACTTGACTGTGTAGCCTTAACTTAGAAACTTACAGTTGTTTACACTCAGTCTCATTTTTTTGTAGATGGGTTATGAGCCAGGAAAAGGTTTAGGAAAGGAAGGCCAGGGTATTGTGCTACCAGTAGAGGCTTTCAAGCGTGAAGGACGTGGAGCTTTGGGAAGTTACGGTCCAGAAAGAACCAAGAAAGCTCAAGAGGTAAGGAGGGCTTGTGTGTATAATAATATTGTTATTTTTTGACCTGTTGCCCAGTCCATTCATGACGGCTCTGGTATTTATCTTGCTTTGTCATAATAGTTTCATAGAAACTAAAATTTTTTCTGTTTACAATAATAACTGTTTTAATATTCTTTCATTTTCACTCAGTTGCGGCCTCATTATGATGAAGAAGAGGAGGAAGACGAGAAATTCAGGGAACAACTTCAACAGTGGAAAAAGACAGACGAGGTAATAATGCCTTGATGTCTTCATGGTTAATTTTGTGTTATTAATATTGGCAATATCAATCAATAATTTAAGGTTTTCACATTTCTCCAGAGTGAATGATCTTTCATATTCAAGTAGTTTTCCAGTGTAAAATTGAAATAGAATTAACTGTGACAAAGAAATCGTCTCTTGACTTCTTTTCATTTTACCCAGTCAGGACAACTGCAGCAGATGTCTTTAAAAAGAATCCGGTGAATTTGTGCTAGTAACAATAGTTAATATATAAAATGCAAGTATGCCAATAATACCAGCCACAGAGTGATGATTTCTGATTTTTGAAATCTCTAGATATTGATGTAATTTTGTGATTGTTACAGGCAGTTAAGTTACGTTAAAATTTCAATCAAATTAGTGAAGCAAGCCAGAGACCAGAAATGTTGACTCAATATCTAATTCAAGAACTCAGTTTTACTGCAAGAAGCTTGTATATCTTTTAACACAGACAGAACGCCTAATGTGCAAACTAACATTATCTATGGGCACTGGAAAGGTCATGTCCTGACTTAAAAAGTTTCGCTCTAGAAGTAAAGGGTTGTTGACACTAGTGACAAAGTCAGTGTTGGAGTGGTAATCAGAAGCGTAGAGCTTTTGATCCAGTGGAAACAGTGTTCTGGTTCTGCTTACGGCTCATTGCTAACGTTCCACTTATGATCTATTGAAACCCAGATTGTTGGAGTCGGAAGCATGAGCGGAAGAACTAAACAAATCACAAAGTGTGGGAACGTGCATTGTGATTGGTTTATCCTTCCGCTTCTGCTTCCGGCAATGAAAATGTGGTTTTCATTAGATCATAAACGGAACATAAGTGACGGAGTCAGAAGAAATGGAAACGTTCTGATTCTTCTGACTCTGTCCAGTTCTGTCATGCTTACTCCAATTTTTGATTTTCACCAGGTCATAAGCGCTCTTACAGCTGCGCTTATGACTCCAACTCTGCCTCTGTCACAAGTGAAAATCAGCCTTAATACAAGCTTGTCAAAAATTAGTAGCCTATAATTGTTGACAGTTTGTTTTTAGCACTCAAAACGTCAGCTAGTCATATTTGTGTGTTAATTTGTGAGGGCAAAAGATGATTTATTGGCTTTGGCTTTGGGAAGCAGCATCTTCTGGTGCTTCAGGCATCTCACAGCTTCACTATTCACCCTTTGCACTTGTACCAACCCCCTTACTTTGACGACATATGAGATGCTGCTTGCAGTTAAAAGATTAGCTTCAATCAATCAATCAGTCAATCAAAGACTTAATTTAACTTCAAATTAGTTGATGGCAAAATTGCTAATATCTCCAAAATTATTCATCAAAATTATTAGAATACGTAAATACATATATGTACACGTATAAATAAATAAAGACATAAAAATCAAGTGAGAAAAAAACTGAATATTGTGAGTAAAATAATAAATTGAAAACATGCACGTATGTAGAAATAATTCCAAGAAATTAAAATTGCTCACAAAAAGAACAGCATTCACTATTCAGTTGAACAGTTTTTAACGCAGTTTTAAAAAGCGGAAAGAGAAGCAGACACATATGTTATCCGTTAATGAGTTCCATAAGTTGCTAGCATGCTATCAAAATGAATAAAGACCATACTTAGTCGTATTTACTTATTATAATAAATAAAGAAGGTGACATTCTTTGTAGCTAATTCATGTCTCAATGGTTCTTCATTTTTGATTCTCAGGGCTACTCAAAGCCAAAATATGTTTACAAGACTGCAGATGAAGTCAAGGTACAGTTTTCAGGGTATATTAAGTTCTGGATTCTATTCAATGATTCCAACTAATTGAAGTTCTTTGTAATTCATTCTTCGTTATCTTGGTACTCTTGCACTTGAACCATTCACTTTGATTGGGATAATCAAAACTTAGGAGGAAAACTACTATTAAACTACTATTCTGCCCACAATAATACGGTGCCCCACTAATGTGTCTATGTCACAGGTCAAAATTAACCCATTCGCCCCTGAACCGCCCGTAACCGCCTGTGCGGATCCAGGTCCTTTCTACCCTTTGTGACGTCATCAGTTTTAACGGTCAAGGACAACTTTCTTCGGTAACTTGTGCAGAGTGAAGAGATCTTTCAAACCATACCAGAATGACCACAATTCAGTCAAGGACACCGGAGAAAGAAGCAAAAAACCACGTGACAAGGACCTGAAAATCTCCATGAAAATCTTGTTCCATTACCCACCTACCTTTCCTTTCACCTAATCCTAAGATCCTAAAAGCTTTCCTAAAAACTCTTCCCACCAAAATGAAGCCTACTAAATGCCCAGCAAGAGAAAAAAAAAATGAGGCAAGAAAAGCGAAAAAAGAAGGGAGGAGAGAAAGCGAAAAGTAAAAGTCAAGACTGCTGTGTCACTTTTAAACCCAAAAACTATGTCGAAATTTTGCTTTCTGCGCATGCCCGAACTTCGCAAGCTGATATTTTGCATCTGGATCAGAAGGCCGCCAAGTGTACGACCTGTAGACCGGTTTGTGGTAAGTTTTAGCTCTTTATAGCACGACAGTGACCAGAAAACCACTCGACTAGCTTCAAAACGCGTTTTTCGGCAAAATCTCCAGGAGCGAATGGGTTAAATTCAGGTTAACTTGAGTTTTTTAACCTAAGTTGATCCTCTATTTGCTAGCCTTAATATTCATGAATTAGGGCTAGGTAGCCTGTCAGCATGAGCAAGCTCTCTCATTTGGGTGAGCGAAGCGAGCCGTGTGAGAATGCTTTCGTGTCTCTTCTCACGTGCCTCTTGGGCATCTATGTTTCATGATATCCCGCAAATGGAGAGCTTGTTTGTAGGCGAGGGTTAGGAGACAAAAGAAACTGTGGATCAATGTAGGTTAAAAAATTTTAATCTGGATTTAATTTTGACCTGTAACATCTATAACGCGTAAAGTGCAAATTAATTATTGACATGTGACATACTGTATAATTAAACCCTCCAGTCATGGCATGATACATGTGTTAAAAACTGTCGTAACAAACAATTTTATTTCTCCAAAATAGCCAAAAAGTATGAATGAAAACTTTTCAATATACTGTAATTAATATTTACACAAATAATAACTTTGTGTATTTCTGAATTAAGGGCAAAATGATACAAAATTCGTCAGACTCTTGAAATACATGGATTATTTTATGTCCTCTTTTACTTAATATAAAATTAATGTGCTTGTAAGAGAGTGCTGTTTGTGTGGCCTTTAATAACTAAAGTTTTGTTTATTTTGCTTTCAGGCTTCGGGAGGAAGCAAAAAGGGACCATCCATATCTCTGAAACACAGCAAGATCAAGGTTATTGTTTTTAATTATTTTGAGGCGATTTTACTATTGCATTTTTTTGTAAGACTCAAGCATGTTTTCTGTGATGCTTTTTTAGGTTGTGGACATGACAGGACCTGAGACTAAAATCCTGACTGGTTATGGCTCCCTTGCTCAACAGCATGCCAAGCCTGGAGAAGTGCCTCCGACCACATTAGGTGAATGATGACTGCTGCACTTTATAGAGTAAATAATTACTAATCTATTCGCCTTGGAAAATATTGCCAAAAAAACTCTGTTTGAGGCTTGTTGAGCTGTTTTCTGGTCAGTATCTGGCTAAAAAGAACCAAAACAGCCCAAACGTGTACAGGTTGAGCACTACACTGCATCTTGTCTCTGATGCTATATTGCAGCTTCTGAAGTTTAGGTATTTGCAGTTTCAGAGGAATTTTGTGGTTGACCTAAGATGAGTTTTTGGCAATTTTGTCTGAATTGTGCTCTTTTTTTGCCGAATAATGCTGATGAAGTCTTGTTAAGCTGTTTTCTGGTCATTCTCTAGCCAAAAAGAACAAAAACAGCCCCAAAACGTTTACTACCTGTAGTTGAGCACTTCACTGCCTCATGTAACTTCCTGATGCTGAATTGTAGCTTCTGAAGTTTGAGCTTGTGCAGGAGGCAGAATTTCTAAGGCTGTGCTCTAAGAAATACATTATATTGTAGGGTGCCTAGTGCTCTGAACCTGTGAAATCCAGGGTTCCCCACATATGATTTCAGTTTTCTATATAAAAAAATTAGTTTTCTAGTCACCCGTGAGCAAAAGTTAGGTGCCAGGGCTACCGGGCGCTGCTAGAACACAGCGTGTTGATTTCATTGGAATTTTGTAGTTGAGGTAAGGTGGCTTTTTTTAGCCTTTTTCTCTGGCCTGTTTGACTGAGTGGTGTTCATTTGTATGTTTGGTTAAAAAGATCTTTTCCTCTGCACAAGTTAAAAGTCAAGGCTGTCATTGACCATTAAAACTTATGAGGTCACAAGTAGTAGAAAGAATGAGCCTGGATTCGCGCAAGAGGTTCCGTTGTGAATCGGTTAATACATTTTAAAAATACGTATACCTGATTTTTCCATTTCTTTCTTTCCAATTGTAACTGAAAGGTGGGTGAAAAAATCCCCGGGTGTCTCTCAATAAATTATTATCTCTTTTGCATTCTGGTAATGATGTGGCTATTATTGGTTTTAGTTCGAGATACAGAGGCAGCATTTTCGATGCCTGAACTAACCTACAACTTGAATCTGCTTATTGATATGGCAGAGACTGACATTATTCAAGCAGACAGACAGTAAGTTATTGTTCAGTTAGTATTGTTCTATAGCCATGTAATGTATGTACATTATCCATATATCAGTGGGATGACATCTAGACCATTCACAATCCCCCATTTTTCCATAAGATCGTCGGGATTGAGCAACTACGTACCTTTACGGGTGGCCATCTTGGCTTCAAATGATCCGAGTCCAGCTTGGGGCTGAGTGTTAAATCTACTTAAGTAGTGGGGGATGGTACAAACACCTGTCCCCGCCTGCTCCCCCCTCTGTACATTTGAAACCAAGATAGCCACCTTAAACGCAAAGCACATGATCTTGAAGGTCATAAGAAAATTAAAATAGATGACTGTGGACAGTCAAGATGAGTTCCTGATTGTTTTGCAGACTGAAGTATGAGCGAGATCTCGTCGTGAATCTTAAACATGAGGAGGAGAAGCTTACAGCAGTGTTGGAGCGGGAAGAAAAGGACATCAAAAGATTAATGGATGTTATCAATATGATAGATAGGTAAATCAGACTTATTTGTTAAGCCCTACTTCTCCTCGTTTTGTGCTTCCTTGGGTGTCACCTACTTTTGATCATCTGTTAGGCCCTGTCCACACATATCCTGATATATGTTTTGGAAACAGAGATTTTTTTCTACATTTCAGCCTTCCATTCACACAGAAACAGGCACCAAAAATGCGGATTTTTCAAGAACGGTCCCCATAGTGGAGATTTTTGAAAATGCCAGCTTTTCGTTTACGTGTGAAAGGATGAAAGCAGAGGTTTTGAATACGATGATGTCATACATCATTACTAGTGGTATTACACAAGCTCTTTTGCTCTGTCCTAAGTGTTTTCTTACGTACAGGCGAAAACAAGAAAAAGTTTAAGCTTCACTTATACGGCAAACGGCAAACGTCAGATTCAAGTTTAGAATTAGCAGATAAAAACAGCTCAAAGCAATTNTATGAGCGAGATCTCGTCGTGAATCTTAAACATGAGGAGGAGAAGCTTACAGCAGTGTTGGAGCGGGAAGAAAAGGACATCAAAAGATTAATGGATGTTATCAATATGATAGATAGGTAAATCAGACTTATTTGTTAAGCCCTACTTCTCCTCGTTTTGTGCTTCCTTGGGTGTCACCTACTTTTGATCATCTGTTAGGCCCTGTCCACACATATCCTGATATATGTTTTGGAAACAGAGATTTTTTTCTACATTTCAGCCTTCCATTCACACAGAAACAGGCACCAAAAATGCGGATTTTTCAAGAACGGTCCCCATAGTGGAGATTTTTGAAAATGCCAGCTTTTCGTTTACGTGTGAAAGGATGAAAGCAGAGGTTTTGAATACGATGATGTCATACATCATTACTAGTGGTATTACACAAGCTCTTTTGCTCTGTCCTAAGTGTTTTCTTACGTACAGGCGAAAACAAGAAAAAGTTTAAGCTTCACTTATACGGCAAACGGCAAACGTCAGATTCAAGTTTAGAATTAGCAGATAAAAACAGCTCAAAGCAATTCGTATGGATAAAAAATTGCGTGAAACTAATTAATTGAGGTGTAGAATTAATGAACAGTAAACGACAAGTAAAGAGGAAACTTGCACTTGGTCACGTGGTACAAATTCGCGTTTGCCGTTTGACGTAAACGTGATGCTTAACCTCTCTAATGCATATACGCTACATGTGGACGTGTATTCTTTTGAAAACAGAGACGAAAACCCCCATTTTCCAAAATATTTGGATTATGTGGACAGAACCTTAGATTCTTACTTTAGCCCTTCCTTCACACTGTGCTGATTTTGGAAGTTCAATGTGTGCATTGTGAGAATTCTTCATGTTCACTGTAGCCCTGGTGCCTATTAAAATCCATCATAAATTTATTATTATGTTCCGGCATGCTTATAACTTCCAACACATGCACAGTGATGGTGCTGGGTGATTGAGGGGAGAGAGGGGGGGGGGTGGGGGGTGGGGATTGGGTTCCATGGTCATCGTCCTGGAAGGCCCTCTGTAGCTAGTAACTAAGGCTTTATCGCATTGATAGGCACCAGTTTCCAAGCTCATCAGTGAATGGGAGATTTAGAGTGTTTAGATGTTTAATTAACCCTTTGTACTTTGTAACCTTTGTTATCTGACTATCTTACAGGTGTCGACAACAGTCATTGTCACCAGATGATGATACTCTTACACTTGACAAGTGTGAAGAAATTTTTAATACTTTGCAAGAAGATTATTATGAGGAATTTAAGGTAATACTATCTTTTTGTTTTGGTGTACCAAACATTAGCATTCTGACAGCCTAACACAATGCTCAGGATTAGCCTTGCTTTTTTGTTCAGCATAACTTATTATGTTTTATTTTAACAGATGTACGACTTGGCATCCCTTGCTGAACCGCTTGTTTTCTCTTTGGTAAGACGCAAATCTGGGATTATTCACACCTCTTATGTAACATTAGATGAACTGGAGATTCCTATTCACATCAAGTATTTTTGGGCTAGAAAGAAAATTTGTCACACTACTTGTTACTTTCATGACCTAATACATGAATGTCAGCCAATACAACTGAAGATTTTGCTAGATGATGGTAGTAGAAGAATTACTTATAATAGTAGATTCACTGATCAACCATTTCATGCTCTCAGCCTGTTGTATGAAGACATTTAACCGCGGTAGGATTTGCTGAGTTGTTAGAGCGCTTGACTGCTGAGAGGGAGGTCGCGGGTTCGATTACTGGGATGGGATCAATATTCAGGGATCTTGATAAAACGGAGAAATGAAGGCAAGACTTTCACCTGGCTCACGTGAAAAATAGTACTTTGGTGCTAAATACATGGACAGGTGCTTTTTTACTTTAATGCTTTCACATGGTACCATTGGTTTGTTTTGATGTTAAGTCTTTGAGCACCCAGTACCCTTTCCATTCAGTCAAGTCAAGGCGCATCAGTTCCTGCCTGAGGGATCGCTAACAATCTATTTGATATTCCACACAAGGCGTTATTGCAGTCCACCAAGCTGTGTTTATTTATTTATCAGGAGAGTAGCGTCCATATACGCACATACGTTCGTGCGTACAGCTGAAATCTTGTATTCCTGAATTCATTGATATCATTAAATCGGGATGACT